TATAAAATGTTTTAATTTTTTTAATAAAAAATTATTAAAATGACATAATTTTAAAATTTTTTTTATAATTTTTAAGAAATAAAACGAATAAATATTATTATCAATAAATAAATTTAAAAAATAAAATAAACAGATTAATCAATTCATGGTTGACTCATACCCGATTTATGACTCATGCAAGTCAATGTTACGGATAATTTACGGTCACGGCATGAAATATTCATATCGTAAGACGATTTTATGGGTTGAGTTAGTGCCAACCTCACAAGTCATGGTCTACATACACCAACTGTTATTTTCCACAATAAAAATGAGGTTTTTAAGAGACTTTCAACCCTCTGGAGCTTCTTTTCAAATGTGGGTATGTCAGCAAAAGGAAAACGATGAGACAAAGGAAGATGCTTTACTTTCCTTTCTCAGAGTTGTGTGTAGAGCAATCCTCAGAATCAACCTTTTTCCAGCAACACCCAGTTGCTAAATCCCGCTCCACATTACGCACGTAAATGAATAATCGTTTTCAGGCTGTCTTTTTCTATCCTCAGGTCAGGAATATGCACAGTTATCTTTTGGGCTGTTAAATTTTTAATTTTTTTTTAAAATTATTGATGGGAGTAGCAGAGGGATTGACAGTGAAGCAAGTCTGCTTTTTGTCTGCTTCTGTCCTTGGTTTAGTTTATTTTACTCTACCTACATTCCTTGGTTTTGTCTTCAAATTTGATTATCCATTTCCTCTTTCCACTTTTTTGATTGATGGGTGTTTTCCTGCAGAGACTCTATCAAATTGACAATACCCAGATCAAATCAAGCTGTTTTCTGAGATGGGTTTTTCTGATTTTCACTGATCAGTTTAAGGTATTTTCTTCATTCTCCTTCTCATTCTCTGTTGCGCTTACTCTTCTTTTTTTTTTCTTTCAATATGTAGCTTTTCTCTTCTTTTTCTGCTTCTTTTTCTCGTTTCTGACTTGGTTCAATTATGTTTAGTTCTAGGCTGCAAAAGTGAGAAAGCGTCTGTGGAAAAAACTGAGAGAAAGGGTGAGGGTTGAGATAAGAGAATCGGGGTTGTTGTCAACAAAATGAGAGATTTCCCATCTTGTTTTGGTGAAAGTGGGGTTCAGGTTGCAGATTCTTCGTCTTCAAATTCTAGTAGAAGTTCCCAGAATTTGGTCACTTGCTTTTATCAATGTCGTATCAGAGGCAAGTCTTGCTTGATTTCGGTTGTGTGGAGTAAGAATTTGATGGGTCAAGGGCTAAGTATAGGGATCGGTGATTCCTTAAACCAGTGTCTTTGTAAGGTGGATATAAAGCCCTGGTTGTTTTCCAAGAGAAAAGGGTGTAAGAGTTTAGAAATACATTCCCGTGAAGTAGACATATACTGGGACCTTTCGTCAGCGAAATTTGGATCTGGGCCTGAACCTTTGGAGGGATTTTATGTGGGTGTTGTTGTTGATAGGCAAATGATTCTGCTTCTTGGGGATATGAGGAAAGAAGCTTATAAGAAGACTGGTGCGACCCCTGTTCCTTCTATGGCTGTTTTTGTTGCCAAGAAGGAGCATGTTTTTGGCAAGAGGGTGTTTACCACAAAGGCACAGTTTTGTGGTAATGGTCAAATTCATGATCTGATGATTGAATGCGACACAATTGGTGTCAGTGACCCTTCTCTCATAATTCTTGTGGATGGGAAGACTTTGATGCAGGTGACGCACCTTAGATGGAAGTTCCGGGGAAATCATACCATCACGGTTGATGGTCTGGCAATAGAAGTTTTCTGGGATGTTCATAATTGGTTCTTTGGGACTTCTCTTGGAAATGCTGTATTTTTGTTCAAGACTTGCCTCTCAGCAGAGAAGTTGTGGGCTAGCCAAACCCTCTCTGATCCAAGTACGTTGCAATGGTCTTTCTCACAAAGATTTATAGATTCCAAGTCACAAAATCTTGGGTTTTCACTGATGGTGTATGCTTGGAAGAATGAGTAGAGAGATCATAAATTTATTTGCTGGTGCTAACAAAAACAAGTGAGTGGCCATTTTTATCCATTATAAGCAGTTAATCACCATTGATTTGATAAAATTCGGGCCACATCTGTTTTTTTATTTTTGTCTCAGTTTTTTTTCCTCAAGTGGCTGAGCAATTTAATGGATGTGAGATGTTTTTGCTGTTTATTCACCTGTAAATTCTTAATACAATAGTTTGATTTCCCAATTTCCCATATATAAAAATTTCATCGTGCATAGTTGTGCAAAAGGCTACTTCATCTGTCATTTGAGTTCGTTTATCAGATCGACTCTTATTTGACTTGTAGAGTTCAAATCTCCACTACCTTCTTGTGTGTGTGGTGTGTGATAGCTGTAAGTCTGCCTTTATTGCAAAGTCAGCTGATATTAAGTATTATTCTTACTTTCATTTCACCATCAGTGAAACTTAAGAAATTAACGATTTTCTTTATTTTATGCTAAATTTGTGTGTGGAGACTTGTTCTTGTGTGTGCTCTCCTACCTCAGGACTCTTCTATATCCTCTGTTTTAGATACGAATCTGTAACTTTTCCATTTAGCAATGGTCTGGTTACTAATATTGCTATATGTGCCATCAGATTTTCATGTGATGTAGGTTACCTACCTAGAAACATTAGATAAATAGTTTTATATTTATGATAGGAAGATAGTTCAGTTTTGGTCTGGAAGGTATGATATGATGGAACTGTTTGGATTGGAATTGGAATTTGGCATGTAGTGTTAAATTTTCTAGCCCTAGTAGAAAAAATATGCTCTCTTATCACCTGCTTCGTTGTGGCAGCATCCAACCAATGGCTGCTGAAAACATTCTAGGAGTCACTACTTTAATATTGAGAGAAATTTTTAGACTTATTCATTCAGGAGATTGATTCTCTTGGTTAATATGGGATTGACATGTATTTGGTTGCTTTGCTTGTTTGGTACATTAGTTATGTATGTGCTATTAATGTCTTTTCATGAAGTTTGTGACTAATTCTATCATCATTCCTAGTGGATTTTGATATGTTAACTGCTTCTAATGATTTTTGAGAATTTGTTAGCATTCATTCCAAACTCCACCACAGCTTCATTAGAATAAGATTGACTTTGTAAGAGAAAGAACCTTTATCGATGAGAACAATGAGAACAACAAAAACCTTTACTTTCAGTTCTTTCTCGATTACGCTCTTGATTTGGTTCAGCAAAATGCAGCACTTGGTGCATCAGGTGCATGTGAATGTGTCTTGTCTTCTGCTCAATTTGTTTTTTTTCCATAAATTTTGGTTGGCTTGCTTGAGTTTTCCCCATCATTGTTGAGTTTGTCTGTGATTATTCTCTTTGGGTGTGGCATCATTGATGTTGGAACTTTTTAACCTTCCATGCTTCCTTTCTTCTAATGACCATATTAAGTTGAAAATAATATGAGATCTCACAGTTCTAGAGAGGAGACCTGGACTGGTTTCTCCTCTAGCTAAAATCTTTGGTCGAATGTGCTTTACATGGCATATTGATGACTTCATTTAATTTCCATTATCTGCACTCATACTGTTTCCTGATCATCTAAGTTATTCTTACTCATTTCTTTTGGTATGCTTGAACTTATGGGATCATCGTTATGTTAAGTGTATATCTCAGGTTAGTTCATTTGATTTTTTGCTTCGCTTTCATAACAATGATTTGTGGGGATTAATGTTTAAGATTTGCTGAAGATTCTAGCTCGGCAAAAGCTCAATTGGGTTCATAGACGTGGCAAATAAATCTGGTATCACAAATTTGCTGAAGGAAGGAAGATATATCTCATTGGAATGATATCATCTGATGAATAAAAACTTGAGCTTCATTCTCTTATTGTGTTTTGAGTCTTGATATCCAAATATCGAGATTGTTCTCTTTGAGTTTTTTTTTGTTACTAAACCTCTTGCTGTGATATTAAATCTTAATTAATTTAGAATTAAGTCGGGTTGGATCTCATAAGGAGAAACTTTTTTATCATGTGTTTTTTCATTTATAATACTTAAATTCAAGATTTTACTTAAAAAAATTAAATTTATTTTATTCAAACTAACTGGTTGTTGGTAATTTCCCTTTGAGTTTGAAAACCATTCTCTTCCATGTATATTGAGATAGGTAGATTTGTCCTGGAATATCAATATAAAATTAAACAGGAAAAAGGAAAAAGAAAAGAAAAAAAAAGAAAAAGAAAAAGAGAAAGGGTTTGATTTTATGCTTGGAAGTGGGACATTAGAAAATCTGTGTTAGTTAGATAATCATGATTGCAAGTCAATGTCACCTGAATTTCTAAAAGGGAATATATTATTTTTTTATATAATTTTTATATATCATTAAATAAATAGATACATTTAATATTATAGATCTCATATAAATTAAAAGAATCAATTATCTTAATAACATGTCAAATTATATAAAAAAAAAAGGCCAATCAGGCCTGTGGTCCAGTGGTTGACCCTAAGCCTTAGGACTTAGGTGAGGCGGATGTCAAAGTTTCGAATTCAGCCACTGCCGTGAACTCTACCAACTTACGACCTAATGGTCGTGCACTTTTTCTAAGGTGGATTATTCATTATTTTGGGAAGTCCCAGTTGCTAACAACTAACTCTATTAACTTCTTAACCATTGTCCTTGTCAAAAAAAAAAA